CCATGTCTCAAATGCGTGTACTTACTTATGGTGCAGCCATACCTCGATAATCAATCCGAAATGCTCTTACAAGCAATCCAGGGAGTTCTCACCTCCGTGCGAAGTCCGACCCCATCAAACGAGCTCAACGAAAACCTCACTCAGATCATTACGATTGTATCGAGTATTGTCGCGGTTTCACGAGGTAGCCTCCCCATGTCTGCCCAAGACCGGGGCTTGGGTATCTTAAATATCCTCAGCGAACATTGCGATAAGCTGAGCGAAGTTCAACTGGAAGGAACTGTCAGCAAAGACTCTAGGCATGTCATGGCCATCTCGAGCTATGCGATCGCAAATGCTGTCAAAGAGTTGATGAAGCTATAGTCACCTCTCCCATCCCTTCCTTGTCAATCCTTATTTATACCCCGTATTCCCGTGGAAGGAGCATCCGTAAATTATACCAAGAATACTCATATAGGCATAAATGGGTCAAATAGGCGTCTGATCAATCCATTCAAGATATAGTCACATAGATAATCAATCATGTTTACCCTTGCATATGAATACATCCACTAAATTAAGCCTTGGCTAGTTCAAGGAATCTCCGAATTTTCTGAGGGTCCTTTCTCCCATCTGTCTCCACTCCTCCACTGACATCTATCGCCCAAGGCTCTACAGCTTTGACGACTTTAGCAACAGTTTCTGGGGTTAGACCACCCGCCAAGAATAATGGCAACCGGGAGTGTTTGTTCGCCTCACCCTGCTCGATGAGCTCTTTGGCAAGCTCCAGGTTGACAGTGATTCCTGATCCACCTGAGACTTTCTCCCCGGGTTTCACTGCCTCCAACATCACAAAATTATGCAATCCAGGGCGTGAAATTGAGCCGAGTGTCTCGGCGGTATCATCTGGCTTTGCGTGGATTACCCGAATCACTGGAGTCGAGATGTATGAGGGCAGATTTAGGGGTTCGGAGCCATGTAGTTGTACAAGGTCGAGATGCACAGCGGCGGCGACGGCATTGACCTCCTCCAAAGGCTGATCCTGAAATACGCCGACGAGTAAGGGTTTTCTGAGTTGTTGAATTGCTTGAGCGTGGTGTGCGAACCAAGGTAGATTTTGATCTATAGACTGAGGGTGAGGGACGGTCGTCTCATCTCTATACGTTTGAACAACGGTAGCTATTTCTATCGCAGTTTCTATTGAAACTCTTCGCTTGCTATTCGCAAAGATAAGCCCGATGAAATCAGCACCTCCTTCAGCGGCGATCAGTGCCTCCTCTGGTGAACGAATACCACATATTTTGACAAGTGGTTTCGGGGATTTGACAGGCAAAGTAGGCGGTATTTGGAGTAGCTCTTGTACGAAAGCACTCGTATCAGGAGCTCTCATTAGCGCTTCTCCTACGAGGACAGCTTTGACGCCTTGATCAAGGTAGTCCAGGACATCCTTTCGGCCATTGATGCCACTAAGAGCACAAAGGATGACATCCCTTTCCTTGCACATGTCCGCCAAGCGAGTGGTGGTACCCATATCTACTTGGAACGTATGTAAATTGCGGTTGTTCACGCCAATCACCTTTGCACCAAGCTCCAGTGCTGCGGCCATTTCTTCAGCGTTGTTGACCTCTACCAAGGGCTCCATCCCCAACGATCGAGAATAGTTGAATAGACGAGTGAGTCGGGTCACGGGTAGCATTGCGACGATGAGGAGGACCGTATCCGCCCCATGAAGCCGCGCCTCCATAATTTGATACTCGTCGAGAATGAAATCTTTCCGCAAGATTGCGGGACGACTGGGCAAAGAATCAACAGCTTGACGTACAAGTCGCATATCAAGCAGTGATCCTTTGAACCATTTGGGCTCTGTGAGCACCGAGATCACGGACGCGCCAGCTAACGCGTACTTGAGGGCTTGTTTGGGTGCATTTGTTTGCATGGATATGGCTCCCTTGGAGGGGGATGCTCTTTTGATCTCGGCCATAAGAGCTGGGACGGCCCCTTGAGTGAGACGATCCACAAAAGATATCAGTGGCGGATCGAGATGAAGGTCGAGGGAGGCTTGTAAATCTTCGAGGGTCGTGCCTGGTGTCTTTTGGGCAAGGGCAATATCCTCCAACCTCTGCTTTTGAATGGCATCTAAGATGGAAGGTAGTTTTGCGGCCATAGGAATACCGTTGGGCTCATAGGCAAAGGGAGGTAGCTGAGTGTCCAGGACACCTGCACTAGGATTTTCGTCCCAGGTACCTCCCTTTAAAGACAGAAAATTCTTCAAATATTCGTTACCGTACTCTGACATTATACTTTCGGGGTGGTATTGCACAGCTTCGACAGTGTACTCGCGATGGCGAACTCCCATCACCACTCCACTTTCCTCGGTGAAGGCACAGATGGCGAGTTGTTCGGGTAGGGACTTGATATGTGCACTGAGACTGTGGTATCGAGTGGATAAGAAGGCTTGAGGTAGATCCTTGAAACATCCACGCTCATCGTGGCGGATTTTGCTGGTCTTCCCGTGCATGATTTCTCCAGCATAGGATATTTCACCGCCTAGAGCGTCGACGAGACATTCGAGTCCCATGCATACGCCTAATACGGGGACTTTTCCGGAAAAGTATCTGATCGCCTCCTGGGAGATACCCCCGTCCGTCTTGGGGTGACCTGGCCCCGGAGAAATGATCAAATTTTTGATCTTGAGATTTGGTAGATCAGAGGGCTTGAGCTCGCTGTTTCTGACGACGCGAACTTGGGCTCCGAGGTTACAAAGTGATTGATACAGATTGAAGGTGAACGAGTCATAATTATCAATCAAGAGTGTCTCTTCAGCTTGAGGCATGATTTTTGAAGTCTCTAAGAGTCTAAATCCTAGAGTTAGATGGCAAAAATTTAGTAGTACTGCTTGACTAACCCAAAGCGGAGGAAGAGGTGGTGGCCAAGTATGGATTTGCCTAATTAGTTCACCCAATCCGACCCATTCAAACCTTCCTTTACAGTGACCTGGACTAGATTATGGCAACAATAATTTCAGAAAAAAGATACTAGTATTCGTAATTATGTCAAAAGAGGTACAACTATCCAAAGTCCAAAGAATAACGAGCAAAGTCCGTTTAACAATGTTCATCACAGAGTCCATCGACTAGCATTTACACCAATAGCATAATGCCAGCCAAGATTGAGAGAAGAATTAGATCCTTGCATACCCGCTTAGGCAGCGGACTAGAGTTGGTTAAACCAAAGCTCAGGCCTCCGTCATTATTCGCCGAGCCTGAGCTGGCTGTGGTAGTGGGTACAGATGCAGGCTGGCTACCTTGTCCCGAACTAGCTTGTGGGTTTGCAGACAGAATTGGGTTTTGTGCTCCCCCAGACGGGAAGATTACATCCCCAGTTAGACCGACTGTAGGAGCACCAGTTTGATCGTACACGGCGGTTCCGCTTGCAATGGCGGATTCTGGTTCTTCTCCTGGAGCATCGCTCTCGGTGCCGGCCTGAGGAGGGACAATAGCGGTTTGATATGGTGCTTGGGCACTGGTTACAGGAGCATCACTATTGAGGTCGCCCGTGTAGCCAGGCGTGTAGGAAGGTTCTACAGCCGTATAGGGAGGTACCACAGCGGTAGCCGGAGTACTCGTATATTCATTTGACACTGGTGAACCCCTGGTCGTCGATACGGTCGGTGGAGTAGACAATGGGGCTTCTGAAGAAACTGGTCGTGTGACTTCAGCTGAAGATGCCGGTGCTGTAGTTGTAGATTGCTGGGGAGGCACCGCAGATGTGTTGGATGGAGGGGATGGTGGGGTTCGACCAAGTCTTTCGAGTACAGCTGGATCAGTCGTCGTCTCTTGATATGCATCTCCGGGGCGCTGTCCGCGACATTGTGCAACATTTCCCAATGTCCATCCGCGTTCATCTGGTCCAGGTCGAGTCAAAGCATCAGGTAATGTAAACCCGATAGCCAGATCCACAGTCTCTTGGAACAAGTCATGTTCAAGACTGATGATACCAGTGCCGAAATCGGACTCTACTAGCGAGAGAGTGTTTCTGAACTGGGAGATTGTGTCCTCTGCCTTTTCGATGCCGCCAGGAACCAAAAAGTCTTCAGTGTCCACTTTGTGAGTGGCATCGACTTCGGTCCAGATGACTGGAGTAAGATTCATGGCCAAGGCAATGGCTCGGACACGATCGTCAATGTCTCCAAAGGGAGGACGGAAAGTGAGGGGTGTTACTCCAGTAACATCCTTGATCGCCTTGCGGCACCATCCTAGCTCTGCGACGACTTGTTCATTGGTCAAGGTAGTGAGAGCTCTGTGGGACCAAGTGTGGACCGAAAGCTGTTGCCATATAAGTAGGAGCATGCGCAAAGTTTTCGAAAAGCCGTACCTCATGACCCATCATAAGCTGTGTTTGAACCATCTCTGGATGAGAGATTACTCTCGATCCGACTACGTAGAATGTCGCCAGAGTGTCGATGGATTGGAGATAGGTCAGCAACTTGGGAGTATACTCGGATGGGCCATCATCCTACAAACTTGGATGAGATAAATGAAAATATACTTTGATGCTACCTACGAATGTGATGGCCCAGCGCTCCTTGTCTTGGCAATTGACAATATCCGTCTCACGGGTGCAGCCTCCGCACGTCCACCAGCACCGACCATCACTACCTGCTTTGTCAGCAAATGCAGGGTCAGATTCGCAAGAGCCATCTTTTGTCGCTGCAAGTGTGGGGATGGTTGCTCCCTGAATATCGGCCAACCAAGCCTTCACTTCAGGAGAGTCGACTGGAGGGACCTTGTCTAATGGAGGATAGATACTTGGGTCGAAATTCGAGACTGTATGGTGGTCAATAACCTGAAACAGTAGCAGATGTTGACATACTATCGGGAAGTCCTACTGCACCCGCACCGAGGGGGAGCGGTGTGCTACCAGGAGGAAACGTGACTGGCAGAGGAACCGTCGGCTCAGGAGCACTGCTCGCTGTGATATCCTTGAGTGCAGGGACATCAAATCCAGGGCCAGTCGGATAGGGTGCGCCAGTAAAAGAGCGACTGATCGATGCCTGTTGTCGACGACCGTGAACACGGGAGCCATGGGCAAATGCCGAAGCAATAAAAGAGAGAATAATAGCGGATTGAGCGATGAACATTATCAGTAAAGTAAATG